TGTAATAAGGGTGTGTGAGTTTTATGTTGGTTTTGTGAGTTTTGAGGTTAGTTTGATGTGGTATGTTTATGCTTGATCTAAGTTGCTTATTTTCGGATTAGAGGAAAAATTTTCCGGTGACTTTGACCGCGAAAATGAGGATCCTAGAGTGAGATTTTTCAATGTTTTAAAGCTTGACCTTATAGCCCTGGATGTTTTGAACATTTTCGGTTACTATGACAAAACCTAATTTTAACTCTAAAACCAAGTTTGAAGTCATTTTACAAAAACGGACAAGCTGTCTAGCACAGTTTCGAAAAAAAAACTGGCAGCTATTGGTTCAGCCAAACGGGACCCTTAGAGGCTCAATCTCGATTTTTCACAAAAGTGACAATTATAGATTTCGACGAGGCGAAGAAATTTTATGCAGAAAGTATTTTCAAAATATGACCCTAAGAGGTACTAAAATACAGATTCCCGAGACGGCACAGTTTTTGACTAAAACAGTTTTAAGAAAAACAGCAGCCACGGTTTTCAGACAAACGAGGCCTTTAGAGGCCGAATTTCAACTTTCCCCAAAAACGACAATTTTAGATCTCGACGAGGTGAGGAATTGTCGCGAAGAACAAAATTTAGAAATCCGACTCTAAGATACAGTAAAACATAGATTTCAGAAACTGCACAGTTTTTAACGAGACAAAACTAAAACAGTGTCGGTTTCAATAAAAAGTCATAAAAGAACCCGAGATAGAATTTTAGTAAAATACAATGACATTAAACCTCATCTTAATGAAAGTATTCATAAAGGAAGTTTTCAAGAAAAAATGCTTTCTTTAAAGAACTTAGTGGGTTATCGAGCAAATCATCCCGACGGGCACCTACGAGCCCAACGCGATAGATCCTTAGAAATTCGAGGATTTGATGTGGGTCCAACGCCCGCATTAAATTAAGAGACTCCGTTAGAGTTTAAATTTCAACGGCCTAAGAGCTAGAATGCCGTGAATAAGTTTCTAGGCCGAATTGGGCCTTAATAATATAATGAGTCCAATGAGGAAAAATTATGGAGAATAAGTTACTAGATTGGGTAAATGATTTCAACCTAGACATAAGTATGCTAGGGGCAATTAAGGAAAATAAGATTTTGAGGATTTAATAAATTGATCCTTATAGTAAATTATCCTTCAGTAAAGGAAAGGAATACATGCCTTAAATAAAGGGCTGGATTTCCTTCATAGGCTACTAAAATAAAATAGCAAATGACAGATAATCTCACACTCTCAATG